TTGAAGTGAACTGCGGTTGTTCAAATCAGTTCCTCAATATAACCTATAAATCACCCAAACAAAGGTGTTCTGCCATTGAGTAGGTATAGGTCCCTCGTAAAAATCCTAGAAGGATAGCTCATCAGAGGGCAAGGACCCGGGTGCGCTCCCACTTCTTTTCCCTGTGGGTTTGCCGTCCCTGGAATTCCTTATCGGCAGACGTAGCTATGGCACCGTCTATGGACGCCTTTAAGCGAAAGCTGGACAACCATGCAGCGACACAAGGACTGCGTCCAAATGGCCTATCCCCTTAAAATCGCATACACCATTCAAGGGTGAGATGCGACCATGTGGGCTCTGCATAGATTTATGGGGCATCTTATAAATTAACTTCATTTCCTTTGTCGTATCTTCGAATATCACTTAACAATGTCTCATCTCATTCATTTTCTGATAACATCTTCACTTGCTCATTATATTCCATCAAACCTAACATTTTATAGCTCTCTATGAATTTGATTCGACTTATTTTACTCCTATTCTCTATAAGGTGCGGTTGTGCACGAAATACACAAAAAGGTATGAAATAAAAGCAACTGGCTTGTGGATAACTGCAATAAAACCAAAAGTGGACATCATGATAGTAAGACCTATATGGGTAGTATTATACATTGCAAATGAACTTTGTCAGTCTAGGGATTATGGTCTCCCATTGTATTTCCTTTATGAATGCACCTATTAATGATACATTGCACTTACCTATTTCATTACACTTTAATGATTCACCTTAGCACCTTTACTTTTCTAAAACAGCTTACTATCCCTTGTAAACGCTGTACTTACCACAATATTGGTTGGTTATCGTATGCCTACAAACACGGGTCAAAAACGAGACGAAGTCGATTTTCTCGCGCAACCTGGAGGACTACTGTTTAATTCAATAATGATACGGCCTGGGTCAGACAAAGAGTGTATTTATATATATATCAAATATTTAGCTGTTCAAACATTATTAAATTGTAGACAATCTACTATTTGACATTATATTATACTTGATCGTGCTTGTAAAAATGGCATGCATTTTCATGTAAATTTATGTTTATATGAAAATATACATTATTAGTATTATTAATTAAACTGGTCGTTTTACTTCTTTACATTCTCTTCCCTCTTACTCTCCTGACAGCTTTAACTACACCTATAATTATTATCATTACTACCGGTATATATATTCACTTTTATTCACTTTAAATGGTCTATTTCTAATAATGTCTGCTTCTCATTCTCAAATGACTTCATAGACTGCATCACCGTAAATGTCGTCCCAAACATCTCCCCAAATATAAACACATCTTTATCACAAACATGTACATTTCTCCAAGTTGCTCACTATCTAATCTTTCAAATTTTGCTGATAAATTCACCATGTTTGCTGCTGCCAACTTCGATAACTCTCTATCTGTTATTACTGGGGACTTCAACCCGTCAGATTGCTCCTTCCTTGAAGCACTTGGTCACTCTAACATTGTCAAATTTCCCACTCGACTAGACAAAACACTTGATTTAGTTTTTACAAATGACGAAGGAATCTATGAAGCACCTAAACGTGCATTGATTCTCAACTCTGATCACTCTATTGTTCGTGTTCTACCAAAAATTTACAGCAAAACACATATTAAAGTCTTCTCGAATCTGTCTATGAAAGCACAAAAAAGATGCTACTCAACCGACAACTTACTCAATCTAAGGTGCATGGTATAAAATACTAACTGGGGTTTATTCCATGAAAGTTCATCAGATGACACAATTGTCAATATAACGGATTATCTTAAGTTCTGCCCTGATATATGCTGTCCCAAACAAACACTATTCAAACGTCTCGACCGATTCTCACCTCCTTATCTCAAACAACTTCGCAGGCAAAAAGAATCATTATACAAATCCAAAGATAAGTTAGGACTCAAAAAGATTAATGCTCAAATCAAATGTGAAATCAAAAATCTTAATGCTATTTACAACGATACACTTTTATCATGCAAATCTCCTATCAGCATGTGGAAACTTTTTAATGAAATTACTGGCAATAGTAAGCGTTGTAATGCTTTTACCTGTTATGATGTTAATGCTCTTAATCAGTCTTTTATACACTGTCCTTCCACTATAACTACTTCTAATGTTACCTATCATGTAGCTGAAAACTTTCATGACTTTAATGCTGTCGATGTTCTAAAATGTCTTAAAACGCTCAAGCCAACACGTAGCCTTGGCCCTGATGGTATACCTGCATATGTTCTAAAACAATGTGCAGATGCTTTATGTTCTCCACCAACTAACATCCTAAATGCTTCTTTCTCCAAAAATGTCGTACCTGATGCATGGAAAGACATTAAAATAGTCCCTGTCCCTAAACCTAGAAACAGCAAGAACGTAAAGTTCAGACCCATTGCTATCACTTCCCCGTTTCTAAAGCTTATGGAAAAAGTAGTACTTCTTAAACTTGAACCCTCCCTTAAAAACTTTGAAGACCCCAAACAATCTGTATATGGACAGGGTAGAAGCACTTTAGACGCTGCAGCCGTCTTACACAACAGTATAGTCTCATCATTAGATAAAGGTGCCAAATACGTCCGCTGCACGTTTCTCGACTTCACTTCGGCTTTCGACTCTATACCTAGATGTCTCCTGCTAAATAAGCTCTCTATGACAAAAACTGAGTCCTGGGTCACTAACTGGCTGCATTCCTACTTCTCTAACAGAAAGCAGTACACCGTATACAAAGGTAAATCCTCCTCTGCTGCGCTCACTGAAGCTGGTGTCCCCCAAGGTGCTGTACTCTCCCCACTTCTCTTTTCTTTCTTTCTACATGACTTACCATCTTCAAATGACATTAATTTTGTCAAATATGCTGACGACCTGACTGTATCTTTGCCTATCAAATGTCAAAGTGACTGCTCTAAACTTAACGGCCTTCTGTCAGTAATCAGCAAGTGTTCCAAGGAAAACATTGATATAAGAATAAAACTTGGGCACTGTGGTAGAGTGTAATTCCATTTTGGGTAAATTTTGTTTTGATAGAGTCTCACAGTGTTATACAGTAATATTTACTGATGACGTTTCGTGCACAATCTATTGCTCATAATCATATCAAGGTAATCACACGACTTCCTGAATTCATTTATATAGTTCCATTGTTTTTCATTTGATTTGATTGGTAGTATTATTTTCCATATTTCGGGTATGAGTGATGAATCACTCCTATTGCATGTGTTGGGTGTAGATTCGATGAACAAGGATTCAGTAATCCTTGAATTTAGGAAGACGTGTGATTACCTTGATATGATTATGAGCAATAAATTGTGCTCGAAACGTCATCAGTAAATATTACTGTATAACACTGTGAGACTCTATCAAAATAAAATTTACCCACAATGGAAGTCCAAGGAAAACGGTCTTACCTTAAACCCCTCCAAATGCCAAACAGTCAATTTCACCTTGAGGCATAAATCCGACCTAAACAAACTGGTTTGCTCTCACGAGGTGTGTAACGTAGATGGCACTGAAATAGAAACCAAGTTGGAAATTAAATACCTAGGCGTCATTCTCTCTGCTGATCTCTGCAGGTCGTCTCATATCTTGGCGATTTCTAAGAAAATATTCCGTCTTACCTTCGACATCAAGAAGTTAAGACATTCTGGTATAACCCAACCCTTACTCCTACAATTCGCTAACTCTCGCATTCTGCCTATTATTCTCTATTGTTCCCCCTTAGTTTTTCTTGGGCTACTGAGGAGAGACTATACCTTATTACGCAAGATGTTAAAGGTTGTCAGTAGGGTAAGCAACGTGCCACTTAACCAGCTTGTTAATATTCTGGTCGACAGGCACATGGACTCATGTGAAAAATGGGCCAAATCCATTTTGTCTAACTCACACCACCCTCTTCACTCCCAACTCTCCCCTTGCATCTCATCAGGCAAAATCAGAGGCCTATATAGGAAACTATATGCTCGCACCAGCAAGCACAAAAGCTCAACCATGCCCTACTTAGCTCGTGTTCTGTCCGATAAAGAAAGCATTAGGCGTGATACCTATAATTCATTAAATAGTCAGTAGAACAACTGGACCTCGTCTTTCCAACTCATATCATTTATAGGTACAACATTTTCTTTCTTTCTTTTCCTTTTCTCTCTCTTTTTTTCTCTTTTTTCTGTTATGTGCTGCTTTGTTTATTTCTTCCGCTTACGTCAGTAAATATGATAGCACCTACTTTTCTAGCACCTTCAAACACTGTTCAACTTTGGCTTTGCTACCAACATGCCAATATGTTGCTGTCATAATGAACTGAGATTTCCTTGATCTATGTAGAATTCTATTTATTGATAATGTACTAACTGGATGCAATACTGTAGTAAAAATGCTGAGAATTCCATTGTGTATCACAAGTACTGTTTTGGAATAAAGCAAATTGTTATTATTATATATATATATTGGGTTGACTGATTGTTGTTACGTTTTCTTATTCTTTTTCTGTCTGTTAGTATGAATAACTTCACTAATTATATCTACTATTATTATTATTATCTCTTTTATATTGACGACGATACCGAAGGACCAAGTGGTGAAAGGATCAACTCCATTCACAGTAGTAACAGTCTAAACACACCTCATTCTACAAACCACATATAATTAATCCCTGCACTACTCCTTTTGGAGTCAATGAGAACTACGACAGTCGAGTGGCGAGATAAGCTACGCAGACGTTTACCGAAGATCAGGAACCTCTACCTCACAATCAAGAGGCGAGCACAAAGAAATCAAATTGGTTTATACTAGCTCGTAAAAGCGATATTGGATATTGGAATCTACCTAGTTAATTCTGGTACAAGCATATTTACAAAACATGGAAAAGCGTAATTATTCTAATGAATGGGTTTCATATTTACAGCAAGGTGAAAAATTATATCAGCGCGAATATGTTGTCTTTTAGTGCCATAAATGCTTTAACCAAGCTACGCCCATTTCGATAATTCTCCGAGGGTGATTTAAAATGAAGGTCGTTGTGTTCCTCCTAGTTTTCGTGTGTTGTTTCCATCAAATACGCAGTCTCCAGCGCGTAAGCAGATACATTTCTTTATGAATCAATTTTCTGATTGTTTCGAAAGATTATGAGATGGATCATTGCATAATGAGATGATTATATCCTCATTATATAAAAATGTCCTTTTATCAATATTGCATGTAACCAAAAATACGTGATCTTATCGCCCATAGTTATCCTAATTGGTTAATTATTTTTTAGCGCTAGGTTGTACCTTATGCTTAATATAAGCTCATGTTTTTCTAGGTTATTTATTCGCTTACGGATTAGATATATGCGGTTTGTCACAGATGTCATTACAGACCAGTGACTTAAATGAACCTGCACTTGGGATCTCAGGACTTGGTTTGTAGTGTGAAAACAAGGGGCAGTAGTGAAAGTCCTATTCGAATTTTAAAAACTCTAGTTTTTCACATTCATTGTGCTAATTACAGAATACATATTGCAGCCATATAGTAAAATTACTGAATTGACTATGTAGACTTCGAGCATGACACTAAGTATTTTCACTTATTCTTCATCGCGTTTAAAGTTGGGCGAAATTGTAGAATGACTACAATTTTATTTCAGTTTTAAGTCTCAGAATGATGCCCAGGTTCAAAAGTGGCTTTATCCTCCGTCTTTTGGCTAAATAATACTGTTCGTTTGTACAGAGGACAGTGGTAAGATACAATTTATCCGAAAAAGAGTGACTTGAAAATAAAAGAAACAATAAATAAAACAGTAAATTACCGCTGGTTGTGGCGACTAATGTTCATGGAAGATGCTTTCTCTTTTAGACAAGACTCTAATACTTCGCACCAATGACCTTTTATTACTAGCCCCTTCATCCTGATATGTTTTAGCATCTCATTGTTAACTGTTTACATTGTTACCTAATTTACGAGCTTAAATCAATGCGCTCTTGATGAAGATGTACAATTCTGTTTGTATTAATATAAGATTACTCAGCAATTAGGACAATATCTACAAAGCATTTGACAAGTTTCTGCTAAGTGATGGTATAAGATCCAGTGTCTTTGACAATATCAACTACTCTATGAAGCGATTTAATTTTATACGAATTCTGATCAAGATTTGATCGGATAGTTCCACAATAATTGGGCATTTAGTGAAAAGCAGACGTATGTAAAAATTATATTTGTATGAATTTCAGCGAATTCGAAATAAATTCTAACAATTCGTTCGGCAAACTGGTCAGAACTTCTTCATGACAGATATCATTGGACAAGTATATTAAAGAAAAGATGTGTTCTTTTTCGTATGCACCTTTGTTATTTTCATTTTGATTGTTTCCCTGGAGAAGTTCGGACTTGTTTGCCTAACGAAATGATGCATTTATTTTTTTCTATTTCTCTTAGATTTATATAAACATAGTTCCTACATATTCCACTTTTGTTTAAAACATTTGGTACTAATACATAATGGTGATGGTACACGTGTCTTGTTTCTAACTTTTCGTGTTATTTCATTGCCGGAAAGATTTATTAAGTGTTAAAGCGCGTGACTAACCGAATTAGCCAATGTAGTGCGTTTTCAATGTGTTGTTGGGTTTAAAATAACGTGTCATTTGTCAAAATTCAAAAAAATCTTGTAACATCATCGATCTTCATTCAGTATACTTGCGTCGTTGCTCAGGGGCGAATTTTCACGCTGATGCTGATCTGCATATACCGATAACGCGAATACTGAGTGGATTATCGCTCTTACTGAACCTCCTACTACCACTGGGATGATGCCTTTAGTGTAAACTAGGTTTATCTTGTTGTTTTGGGCAATTTAACATAGATCAGTCATCTCCACCACTGTTGGCTGCGGTTGCTTTAGAGATTCACTGTGCTAGTCTATTTATCGCGACTACATTTTTTAAATTTTCAATAGTTTAGAAAGTTTTATTGTGGAAATCACTTCTAATGCTAAATGATTTATAAGTTTATACAGCTTAGCAAAATTATAACTGATTCGCAATTCACCTCTTAATATTGTATTTAAGCTACTGTGGCTCATTAGCTTATGCACCCAAACAGCTCTGCCTAAAAAGTTTGCGATATGTCGTTACCTGTTTTCTTAACATGCTGATATTTTGCTGAAATTCACTATTGTTTGTTACTATTAAGACTTTTAATTTGATTGTATTCACATCATTAACTGCACTAGTATATTTTGTGTTGTATTGGAAATTTCTCTTTACAGTCGATCGTTGTCTTGAAAGCATACAAGAATGATAGTGTATCAGATCACCGCTGCATTTATTTGTCGAAAACAAGTCGATTAGATCCCTTCTTACAGACAGTAAGTAATAAATTTGCCTACATTTTTAAAGTGATACAAACAGTAGTAAAATTAGTTGTCGCCTTATTTACTGTGTATAACGAGGTTATTAAGTCTTTGTTTACAATGATCTTTTAAATTTAGCCGAAATACATTTACTAAGGCGACCGCCTGTAATTATCAGTAAAAAGATTACATTTTTTTCCTAGTCAAATGGTTTCTACCTGATAGGTTATAGCTATACCTTTGTTTTAGGTAATATATGATGCTAGTTTGATTTCATGAGATTTCAACACTCAGCGAACAACTCAGACTGAATTGCAGTATTTGTGTTGCAGAGCAGTTCATAAGCTTTGCTTATCTGCATTAAAAAAGCAGTCACTCTTTCCGATACCGCAATCTCTGTGTCACGACTGTGTGATATTTTCTCTTTTTTTTTTTACAAACGGATCTCCTTATTATATCTGCAAAATTTTCTGATTCTTACTTCTGTCGAGACAAACCAATAATTTTTACGTATACTATGTGTGTTTAATGTTGTCTATGCCTTTGTCATCTACAGTTCTTATCGTTTTCAATAAGTCAGTTATTCTCGTTTTGTGTCCTATTCTTAACATTCAGATGTATTCACTGATCATTGTCTTATGAAATGATTTCATCTGATGAGTTGTTTCTTTATCAGTCATTTACGGAGTGATCATTTGTGATTGTGAGCTTACAGCATAAGCTGAAGTTATTTAGTAAATGTACGCAACCACTTTTGTATAGTGAAATGTATTCATTCGTCGATCAACATAAAAAGTATCACAAGGCTACTCTAATTAAACTTGACAAATTTTTGAAATAGCCGGTCAAAGGGTTTGCTGGGAAACTATTCTGTTAAAGTTGGTTAAAAGAAGTAATGAAGTATGTTAGTTCTCAGTCATCATCTGTCATTATTTTTTGTCGGAGTAACTGCATATACAAGAACTTACTTGGGACTTGTGGAATTCGGCTATATTCGTTGTTGTCACTGAATATTTATCTGATGAAGCTTGTTCGTTGATATATTACTTTTGAGCTGTGTAACGTATGACCCTTACCTACTGATTCAGTGTTACGCGAATCTCTATAAGCACTACAGTGTTGTAACATATTGTTTTCAAACAGTATCGTAATTTGGAATGGTTGCTAATGGATATTTTTTGCTTCTGTCGAATTTGTGTTCTTACAGATGTTATACGAGATATATTTTAGTTAACAGAGTTTATACAGTTTAATTGACTGGGTTCGAGCCTCGGTGGGAACATCATCACTCACTGGGAAATGCAGGCACATCCAGATGACGAGTCCCAAATAGGACGAAATGCGCGTCCTGGATCCCACTGCTAGTCACCATCCACAAATTACAGTTCATATAGGTTTACAGATCTGAACAGTTTATATATCGTATTAAAAAGTTCTCATCTAATGTGCTCAGTGTTTCATTATTAGTCTTGTCTTACATTAAGAAAGTGATGGTGTTATTTCAGCTTTCCTTTACTATTTAGAAGCCTTAGCCTCTTTAATAATAATTGTGAAAAGTTATAGTAGAACAAGACATATAAGCGAACAATATCGTTTTCAATTAGATCTTCTTCAGGCTTTACTCTAATTTACATAGATTCATATATAAAAATTTTAACCAATGACGGTGATTTTGTGGATCAATCCCTGTACCTACGATTAAAGGACGAAATTCTTTGGACTCTACTTCAAACTGTATCTACAAGTTCACTTGCAGCTGCGGTGACACCTATATAGGTAGAACCAACAGAATGTTCCAATGTCGTCGGAAAGAACATGTTCCAAAATGGCTACTAAATCATATAGAAAATCCCAATGCCAGTAATCTGAATAGAAATCCAGCATCATCCATTGCAAAACACTTATTAATGTCAGGTCACAAAATCAAAATTAATGACTGTTTTACAATTATTTCACATAACTCTAATTCAAAGTTGGTTATTGAAGGTGATGGAAGCACTTTGGATTAATCACATACAGCCTAAACTGTGTGTACAAAAATCAATAGACTTCAATCTTCGCCTACCCTGGACTACTTGACCTATCTAAATATGACTGGTCATTAGTATGTACTTTTGTTTTATTTAACTGAGTAATTGTCATGAGCTTTATTTTATTATTGTTAACCATGTTAGTTGTAAAGCGGTTGTAAAGAAACTACGAAATGTTATCATCTCGCGAAATTTATCTTCTTAATGCCTTATTCAAATTTATCAAAGGGACTAATTGTTTTAATAATAATAATGTGGTAAATGTTTTGAACTTAGTTAATAACGATGATTGTAATGATAACAAAATATTGATAATAAAATGATAAAATAGTGCCTTCAAAGTTATCTATCGCATTCCAACGAGCCTTTCGAACGGAATTCGAACCCGTCTTTTACACATAGCTGGAGGTATAGGGATTCGAGAGAACAATTCTAGTCTCTGCATACAAAAGAAGTTTATTCTACTTTTCGATAGAGAAAGAAAGACCAGATTTGCAGTATAAAATGATATCATTCTATTTCACAGGTTCTCATCAGCTGCAAACTACCTGAAATTACAATGGTTATAATTAATAACATTTCATACTTCATTGTTTGAAAGGTAATACAGAAAGCATTATAAGATAAACGCATCCGGAATATAAGGATTAAAATTTTTTGTAGCTTAAGTTACCATCAATTTATATACTATCAAACTATGGCAAAAAGAAAGAAAAAAAGGGGGGGTGAGAGAAGACAGAAAACAGAAAAATCTAATAAACAGTGTCAACATGGCAACTCAACAAGGTCAAAGTTCATCAATCTGAAAACTTGCTTAGTGAGTTGAACTCACTAGTGTCTATGAGTAATCACTGTAATGAAAGTGATATGGTTACCAAGGGAGTGAGAGATTGACTACACTCTCTTTCTGTGTGCATAAGTTTGGTCTGAGGCGTTTGATTGCAATTGCTTCAGCAAATCGTAGTAGATTCGCTGTCCTTTGTATGTTTAATATTTTGAAGGATTTGGAAATCTCAACAAAATGGCCTGTATCCACAAGGTGTCTGGTAATTGCACTTTGTAAATATTTGCTTCCTTTTAAGCATAAGTTTCTCGGAATATGCTCTGAAAACCGGATAGAAGCCCTTCTTTCTGTCCTTCCGATGTACTTGCTGCCGCAGGTGCACGTAAATTTATAAATGCAGTTGGAGGTAACATCAGCAGGGTATTTATCCAGTTTCGATTGGCTTATAGAGCATGTAGTACTGTATAGTGTCACTAGATTGGCTGCAGGGAAGCATCTCTTGATTGTTCCTTTCATCCTTTTTTCAATCTTTCGCGATACTGTTTCTCCTTTGTATGGGAGGCAAATGAATACTTTCTTCTTTTCAACTGTTGGATGCTTCTCTTTCTCATCTCTTTCTTTGCTGTACTTTTGGATAAATCCTTTTGGATACCCGTTCTCCTTAAGGCATTTTTCAACGAAGCTTAATTCTTCTTCTATCTTGTTGGGCGAACATAACTTCCTAGCCCTGTCGTACAGTGTCCTTACTAATCCCCGCTTATAGCTCATAGGGCAGAAGCTGTTGTAGTGAAGGTATTGTCCGGTCCAAGTTTCTTTTCTGTAGATGGACTTTTCGACCGTTCCATCGTCTCTTCTTTTTACATTTAGATCTAGGAAATTGAACTCATCGTTGTGTTCGTATTCCATGGTGAATTTAATGTTTGGGTGGACCTCATTTAGGCGGTCAAATAATACGGATGCCTGACTCATGTCGTTACAAACAACAAAAGTATCATCAACGTATCGACGGTAGTATGTTGTTTCATTGATAGCGTCACTCAGTCGTGTCTGTTCGAGGTAGCCCATGAAAATGTCTGCTAGAATGGGTTCTAGAGGTGAACCCATGGCGACCCCATCGATTTGTCGGTAGAATTGGTTATTGAATCTAAATTGAATGTCTTTTGTGCAAAGAATTAGTAGTCGTCTCACCTCTGACTCCTACTTTTGTCTTTCCCTTGGCCTAGGTGAATTCTATTCAAAACCCTCCCACCCTTTCTTATTTCCCATCTCCTTCGTACTTTTATGATATTTATTTAAACTCTGATTATCTGTCCACTTCACCTTTAGTATTACGTAACCGAATTTATTTATTGCATTGTCTACATAAACAAATATTACTACCTTTGTTATTCTGATCGCCACCTGTATAAACCTTATTATCAATATTTTGTTATCGTTACATTCAACGTTATTAACTAAGTTCAAAACATTTACCACATTATTATTATTATTATTATTTGATCCACAAAATCACTGTCACTGGTTAAAACTTTTTATATATAAATCTATGTAAATTAGAGTAAAGCCTGAAGAAGCTCTGATTGAAAACAATATTGTTCGCTTATATGTCTTGTTCTAATATTAAAAAGTTATAGTGTATTACTATTTTTGTGTATACTTCCGTAACATTGTGTCCACTCATAGGCGATAAATACATCAATGTTAAGAGCTGAAAAAAGTAGTACCTGACTTGTGTTGTAGGGAAAATAAGTAAGTTATTTAAAGCAAACTGGTAGAAGTTTTTGCTCTGGCGTATAAAGCACGATGTGTAAGGAATCACATCATTACCAGGCGGTGGTTTATGAGACTGAGTCCATTCTTCTGAGAGATGTTATTTAAAAAAATGAGTACAGTACTGCAGTAGGTAACATCTCAAAGTCATGCAGTTGTTGCAGATAGTGTAAATTTTTAATACCACTTACCTGCATTTATTCCTTTATACTTACTTTGCTTGGTTCACATTTTTTAATTTTTGATTTCAGACAAAATTGAAACTGGTCAATTTGGTGTCTTCTTCCATCAATGCACTTGATCTCCCTGGTTTATTGCCAACGCCACCGATTTCTGTGTCCGTTCTGTGGGACAATTTTCAAGATTCCGATATAATACAATTAAATCCAAAACTTTTAGTGATTATTTATAATGGGGAATTAAAACTGAAAGTTGAAGTGTTAATGGCTTCACATGTTGCTGATGTATTTAATCGGTCGGTAATATTTTTAGATGCTGATCAGTTCAGTGATATTATTCTTGTAAGTAGTGTATCTCAGTATTGGCTTATCTTTGCTTCCAGCTATGCTTTTTGCATTGTAACGTTTCTATGAATTTACACCAATGTTTTACTTGATGAGTTTCCGAGTACTTCTACTTTTTTCTAAGAGTGCTCACAATAATTGTAGTTTGTGAAAATACCTGTAACAGTTACATATGTAGATTTTCATAACGATCGAGTTTGGGTAACGTTCTTGTGTGAATTGCCTGATGTAGAAGACTCCATCTGGTTGGTTTCTATCAAAATGAACAGTAAAGGCAGTTTATACGTAAACTAATGAATCTTTGTAGAGATCATGATAACAGATCAGTAGAGAATGTAAAAGGAATAGAAGAATTGTCGTTAGGTAATATTTAGAGGTGATTTGGCAACTACTTCGCTACTACGGGGTGCCGCCAACAATTATACACCTCATCCAACAGTTGTACGATAATGCTGCATGCCAAGTAATCCATAACGGGAAACTCACGGAATCCTTCCAAGAAGTGAAGACGGGAGTAAGACAAGCTGGCTGGCTGCCTACTATCTCCAATGATTTTCTTGATTGCGGTAAACTGGATAATGTGACAGACAGTGGGCAGCTAGGAAACAAGCATACACACAAAAAACTTGGAGGATCTGGACTTCGCCGATGATATATGTCTGATTTCCCACAAACTGGGAGACATGCAAGCGAAACGCATCAAGTTGGCAGAAGAAGCATCCCGAGAAGATAGGACTTCAGGTGAACACAGAGAAGACAGAGATAAGTGATGAAGATTCCTGGCCAACAGCAACAGCAACAACAACAGACAACAATCAGCATAAATGGGAGAAATCTGAAAGAAGCAACCTCCTCTACCTACCTACCTGGGAAGCGTCGTTTCAACTACAGGCGGACGGAACTGATGAGGATATCAAAGCGAGGATCGGGAAAGCAAGGCAAGCTTCCATTACTCTCAAGTCTGTGTTGAGGTCAACAGCACTCAGCATCAAAAATAAGATCCTCATTTTTCATTGCGATGTGAAGTCAGTGCTACTTACTATACGGATTAGAGACTTGGCACGTCATGAAGAGCACCTCAAACAAACTACAGACCTTCATCAACAACTGTCTTCGCTCAATACTGAAGATCAGATGGCCAGAAAAGGCCAGCAACAGGGAAGGATCTCTTGGAGCGAACCATCCCAACAGGAACCGATTGTGAAACAAATATGCAAGAAAGAATGGAGGTGGATTTTCCATACTCTGAGAAAACTATCAAGTGAGTGACATTACACGCTAGGCCATCACTCGAGTGGAACCCGAATGGGAATTGGCGAGTTGGTCATCAGTGCGAGGGTGACTTGGAGATGAAAGCATGTGGGCAGACGTGGAGCCAGGTGAAAACATTGGCAGAGAACCGGACGCAATAGAGACGTGTGGCTGAAGCCCTTTGTTTCTCTAGGAATTAAAGAAAACAATAATAATAATATTTAGACTGTCATTTGAGAAGAGCCAGTCGATAAATTGTAAAGCTGCATCGATTAGGATGACTTGGATACGCGTTACGCATACGAAACCTTCACTTTCTTCGTCAAGCAATGGCAAGTGATGTAGGTTTGGGTTGTAAAAGAGCTAGAGGTAGCCAGATCAAAATATGACATCAATCTACAAAGTCTTTGACTGTCTGGCTAGAGTCATCGAGACATTAAGATCGGATGGATGTAGACTATTAGTGGCATGACTCAAAATCACTGTGAATGACGCTAACACCTTCACTGTGTGTGATCTCTCAGATCCAGTAAATCCTCCCTATTCACCATGTAATCATTCTTTTTCCTGTTAATTCCCGTTTAATTATGATTTCTGTGCATCTTTTTCCCAACCTTTGAGTGTGTACTTTATGAAATGTAAGAATTTAAACAGCTGCATTTTTTTGTACTAAGTCTTTTGTTGAAGATACACTTCACATCTTGAGTAGGTTTTCATTTGTAAGCTAGTTGAATGTTCCCTTCTTTTATTCTTTTTTTTTATAGAGTAAATCTGGTCCTATTACGGATGATATTTTCCTTTCTGTTTCTCCATTTACTCGTTCTACAATCGCATATGAAATTCTAATTTGGATTTTACTGTATGTATTTGTCACTACCGCTATTTTACTGGCTGCATGGATGATCGTTGTAAACTGTGATGAAATGTGAGTTTTTTTTTAAAATATTTTCTGACACCGTGCAGTTTGTAGTTTAATTCTTTAGCAATTCGTATTAACTTAGGGATTAGCTATTAGGAATGCGGCGATTGATTTGTCTGCACATTAAAATCTGATCTTTTCTTTTTATCTTTCCATTCTCTATCTCTTTCATCATGTTGATTATCAAACAATAATGTTAGCCGACAGCATACATACAATATATGCGACTTCATGACTAATTACACTAACCTAAATTGAATCTACTAAATCAAATAAAGTAGTAGTGGTTATATTAGTAGTATTAAAAGTAAGTAGTTCAGCAAATATAATGCACAACAGAAATTTCATACATTTATTCCCCTTATTCAAATAAAGTGAAAACAATAGTATGTGCATAATAAAATGGTGCCACCATTTATTTCGTTGGCTCTTCATCAGCTGCTTGCAAGCCAATAACATTATTAAGTTTATGTACACAAAACGGTTTTAACATACACAGAGAGTCTCATATTTAAACAAAACATCAATATATGCATGCAATGGTAATAATAATCATACAAAATGGAATTTTTGGTGTCATGTAATCAAGTAAAAGAGAGCATGAAAATATCCAGTTACCAGGGCATGGGAAGACTGATAACAGCCTCTTTCTAAACACACAAATATGGTTCCAGGTGTTTGGTGAAGATTGGTTCCACAAACTTGAGGAGAACTGAACTATTTCGCCTATTGATAATTTCGAACGATCATGTGACGTCCATCTAATAATGACCCGTGTCAAGGAGATACCTGTTGATGGCACTGTTGAAACCATTTGTTCCCTTGAGATGTAGGCTTTTTGTTACATGTTCATAAAATCGGAGATGTGTCCTTCTTTCTGCTCTCCAAGTGTAACTGCTCCCTCAGATACATGTAAATGCGTGTATACAATTAGAGGTAACATGAGAAGGGTATCTGTCGACTTTTGACTGCACCAAAGAGCATGGCATGTTGTCGGATAGTTGGGAACCAAGTTAGCTGCAGGATATGCTGTGGCTAGCGACATATTCAATCTCATGTTGATTATTCCTGCAGTATTAGCACCCTTGAAATCAGGTTGAGTTAGGATGGGCTTGTTTCAACTGTGATTTGTTTTGCAGTAGAGCCTTCAGATCTTGCGTACTTGTTAATGAATCTCTGAGGGTAACGGTTGTTTTTGAACAGACTCTTTGGAGAATCAGAAATTCTTCTAATTTTTCTGTGTAGAGGATATTCTACTCAGTGTATTGAACAGAGTTTTTCCTAGTTCTGGTTTTTAGTTATTTGGAGAAAAACTATTAAAATGTATATATTGTCGTTTCCATGTAGGCTTTCTGTAAATTGACCTCAGAATACTACCATCTTCTATGCGTTGTATGGTCAAGTTAAAAATTGTTGAAATTGTTTCTGTCGATATACTTAACAATGACTTTAGCCTGTAAGCAGATGATGAGAAACCAACGAAATAAATGATGGTACCATTTTATTCTGCAAAATTTGTCGCTATTCATGCACACAACAGGTTGCACAAAAATTCTACATTTTTGAAAATACTTTCTATGCAGTTAGCTTATTATTTTAATTTTTCTTGGCATGGTTCAAATAAGTGAACAAGTAATCAGATAGTTCACTTGGAATTAAGTACACTGATGAAAAACATTGTGTGATTATATAAGTTATCGTTAAAGCCGATTTTACTACTCCCCATTCGTTTCTGCCCACGTGACAAGATAAAACAAAGGCGGTCAATTACGACTTGAATTTGTTCAAGTGGAGTGGATCTTATATGATTTTGAATTACCTGTTTGAAGGAATGTTGTAATCATATTAGATGTGTTACGTTTAGCTGTTTTAAAGGTGTTTCACTGAGTTTTATTTTACACAGCTGGAATATTCGTTGTGGTATTTACCCGCCCCCCACCGCCCTATATTATGCGCGGAAACACCTTGTGATTACTTTTATCCTCACCCAAAACTCAAGTTTGAGACTTTCTGTGGAAGGAAATCGATAGTGTTTAGGAGAACTTAAATTACTAGTAGTCAGAATCGATGCCATTGTTGATCATAGCTATTTGAATGAAAATGCACAATTACACAGGGTGCTTTGTAAATAGATTTTATCATTTACACTATTAGATTCTACTAGCAATAAAATTATGGGATGAAGTTGGCAGTAATATACGTTAACGCTTTGATTGTATAATTTTATGATGTGATTCACAAGAAGGGTGGAGACATTCTGTTTAGAGGCTTTTTATTACATGAGAAGCATAACCTTTAAGAAGGCGTAAACTAATTTTATTACAATCTAATCATAAAGAGAGATCCAAGTTAGATGCATAATAATGAAATAGTTGTGAAAATTGATAGCTAGTTGTCTTGATACTGAAATTTAAGAACACGGTAGGTATGTGTGATATAAAGGTCATCCTAAGTTAAAGTGATCACCACATTTACTAATCTGTCTGTCTGTCTGTTTTCGACATAGAACTTTGCACATATGTGCAGCAGTTCAAGTCGCCACACTCCCTTCATGTAGCACACAAAGCAAGAGAAGAAAATAGAAGAAATGCATAACAGAGACAGTAGACAGAGATATAAGACAAAGGATTAGTGATAACGAAGAACAATATAGTTTCATTGGAAATCATAAGTCACAAGGAGTGGATGCATCTGCGCCAGCCATTGAGAACGATGAGTTTGAGCCATATCACCGATTGTCTCCAGCCATTGGTGTTTACCGTCCCGAGGACCCCAAACCAGGAAGTCTACACCTTCCTACGTGGCTTAGACTAACTGTTGTAGATTTCATTGACTGGTGAAGCCATGTTTTCGTTTGACCACCGCTAGCTCTTTTCCAACCTCACCCTATGTCAGCTAACATTGCCCGTCAGTCGAGGAAGGCGATGACTAGGCATACGTAGCACATATCCTAACCATCTCAGTCGATGCAATTTCACAGTCTCGTCGATTGATTTCCCCTCCTTACCTAGCACTTGACACCTAACCTAAATATTGCTCACCTTATTATAACACTACACGCGGGAGATAGAACGCAGACACCTATGATCAAAGACAGTCTAGTCTCACCCACTAGTGTAGAAAATAAAATCATGCATTCGCAGAATACAGTTTTCATGAAAGACTCTAGTCAGACTGAAATTATAAATTATAATTAAGAATGCTCTAAACAGATAGTGCTTCCTGAAGTTGAAATCCTTTGTACGCCTTATTTGTATTGTTTTATTTGACAAGAATTTCTAAGCATTGCAAATGAAAAGCTAATTCACTGTATTAACCAATTAATTATCAAATTAGTTACATTCTGTTAATATATATCTATGAATTAGATAGTCGGAGGCAATCGGAAGGAGGCTTAGGACCTAGGTTTCGTGCCAGTTGGCACTCATCAGTCAGCAAGGCGTATCTGCAACCTCTTCTGAGATTCGAACCCTCATCACCCAATGCTGCAGTCAGAGACATTACCACTGAGCTATTCGGGCTCGTGATTGACCTCCTGGATACTTTGATTGGACACTAGTCATTAACTAGTTTAATATGTCTAGTGCTATCTTTGGTGCAGAAGGGACATGAATTCTTTCAAGGTTGCAGATACGCCTTGCTTACTGGTGAGTGTCGGCTGGCGCGAAATCTAGGTCCAACCACCTAATATCAACAATTCACAGTACAACGTGATGGCGAGCCACCTAGCATAGTGACTGATGGAATTCAGTCTGCACCAAACAAAGGACCTAGAGGTATGACACTAGTTACTTACTACTTAGTGTTCAATCAAAATATATTCATGATTGGCTAATATCGTGAAAAGCCTTACCATTGCCAGTGCTTTTTAAACTCAGGCATTTTTTTCCTGGTTTACAGTTGAGTCAATCTCTGCAGAGTCAAAAAGGAAATAGGCACAGCGAAGTTGAAGATGAATGATGAATGCTAATGATCCAAGTGAATTAGTATAGAAATGACCTCTTTCAGGCAACCAATCAGATAATCCCCTAGATAATAGATTAATAGAGGAGAAGTCGAGTTTAGTATTAATAAAAAAAATGTTGTTGAGAATTTTCGAGAAAGATTTAATCAGGAAAATGTGCCTAAAACCTAATCTTCACTCTAGAGCCTGACGCTAAACGATAGTAATTTGTGTGAATACTGACGCTTTTAAAAGAAACTGGAAGGAGTTAGCCTTGTAACATTTTAAAATAAAGATACCCTGTTGATGAATACTTTTACGTTGTAAACACTTTCGTCAAGAGCAGACTGTTTAGCTTGCTTCGCTCTGATTGGTCGCTTCAAGATCATCATTCGTTAACTTCTCTATAGACATATAATAAAGTTACTAGGGTAATAATAACCTTGTATAAGTAAGGGTGACAGTACATATTCACTATCTTGATGATATTAGATAGTTGGAGGCAATCGGCAGGAAGCCTTGCTTGACCTAGGTTTCGTGCTAGTTGGCACTCATCAGTCAGCAAGGCGTATCTGCAACCTTGAAGGAACTCATGCCTTTTCTGAGATTCAAACCCGCGTCACCCAGTGCTTCAGTCAGAGACGTTATCACTGAGCTATTCGGGCTCGCGATTGACCTCCTGTAGGAATGTGGTGGGCATTTTGATTGGACACTAGTAACTAGTGCGACATGTCTAGTCCTTTCTTTAGTGCAGACTGATAGAATTCAGTCTGTACTAAAGTAAAGACTAGACTAGACACTTCGCACTAGTTGCTAGCGTCCAACCAATGATATCCTGATATAATTTACATTTTTCGTTTTTTTGATTATTGAGATAAATTTCTATATCAGTTTCGAAAAAAAGTATTTGTATTTATTGCTACTATTTATGTAGCTTCTTTTGTGAGTTTATACGCAGTCTGTTATAAATTCCTTCTTTATTTTTCTGTTAAACAAATCTTCCTTAGGTAGTTGATTAACTTTAGTCTAGTTTATTGAAGTAATGGGGAAGATTTGTGGCTCAGTTGGATGAGTTATCAATAGGACAGATTTAACAGAGGTTACTTCGTCCCTTCACTTACCTCAACAGGAGGCACAGCTGCAACCACAGGCAGACGGAACAGATGAAGATGTCAAAGCAAGCTAGCCAGCCAGCCAGAATCGGAAGGGAAAGATACGCCTTCATCAACCTGAAACCAGTTTGCGAATCTTCTGCACTGCACTCAGCACCAGCCAGCATGAAGAACAAGATTCGAATTTTCAACACAAATGTGAAGTTAGGCAGTCAGTTCTTCTATGTGGATCAGAAACTTGCACAGCGAGCGTGTCACGAAAAGGATTTCCAACAAGCTACAGACTTTTATCAACAGCTGTCACCTTCGCTGGCTCCACACTGAAGATTAAATGGCAGGTCGGCCAGAAAAAATTAGAAACAAGAAACTCTGGTTGGCTGGGAACAAACCAACCAAGAGCCGATCGCTCAACAAATATGTGGGAGAAAATGGAGATGGATCGAGCATACATTGAGGAGGCTTTCGAATGAGAGCGCCAGGCAGTCGCTCGAGTGGAATCCCAATGGGAAACGACGAGTGGGTCATCGGTGCGAGGGTGACGTGGAGGAGATCGTTTGAGGAGGAAGAGATGAGAGATTATGGTCAATCGTGGACCCAACTGAGGAGGACAGCAGAAAATAGCAGAAAGTGAAGATTTGTTGTTGAAGCCGTTTGTTTCACTCGGAACTTAAGGGAATAACACTGTAATAATAATAAATTTACCAGCTAATAAAAAGTAAATCACATGACAAGAAAGTTCAAATTCCAAGTCAATAAAAATGATCAATAAAGGTGTAAATTAACAACCAATCACGACAATGGTTGCTAGGAGATACAATTACATCATTCATGGAGAATTCAAATAAGTTCATTCCATACTAAAACCTGCACTGAAGATGTTGTCTAGAAGGACGACGAAAGTTTCACAATTAAATCAACCAGCTCAGAGAACACAACTAATTCCAAGCCTAGTTTATTTCTTGTACGAACCTGTAGTACTTGGCGATGTGAATTTTTATGTAAACTGTGACAATTTGAGTATATTAGACATTTTTATTATATTATTTGTATTCGTTCGTCTTACATTTCTATTATCTACTTTCCTGATATACTAATATGAGGCCTAAACAGTTTTATAAGCTGATAATCATACCAGAATTTTAAGTGAATCAATTTCAAAGTTTTACCCTAGAAATAAATTGACAGTTCATTGACCTTGTTTTGTACTGTTTGCAGATTGTTTAGATAAGTGCAAGAAAGAAATATTTAGGCGTGGATGCAAATCAAGAGAGTTTGCGTTATAAAATATCACAAACAGTAATTAACATATTGAAAATACTTTAATGGTCTCTAGTGTTGTGTATATTTACCCTAAAGGTCATTCCGTATGGAATGTTGCTCCAATTATTGTGTATGCAAGCCAGTAGAATGATCTGTAAACTTTTATATACGCTTTCATACACTTATTCGCCTTTATGAATTTGAATAAAGCAACAAAAAGAAAACCAGAGGTGTGTACAGAAAAAGATGGTATCATCGTGTATTTCGTCGGCTTCTCATCAGCTGCATTCAGCCGAAAGTAATTAATTGAGTTTATGCATAAAGGACAAGCGGAGTATATTTCTGAGAATTACATTCCACAGCACATTATTGTTAGCCTATGCGGTAATTACAGAAGAGAATCGGTAAAAATACACGGATACAGGCGAAATCAGAGGTCTACCGTATAGCAGAATCACAATTTGTATATATCTTCGATATTGTTCTGCTTTGTCTTCCATATTTCTCTTCTTTATCTTGCTTTCATGTTTCCCATGTTGTTTCTCAAGCATCGTTCATCAAATCCATCTCTTCGCCATTCGATATTCTTGACGCTGATATGGTATTCATACCTGCATCTATATATACTACTTACAAATCTTGTCAGTAACACCTGCCAAAATATCACTCATTAATTAATCCCTGAATTTCTCTCGACTACCATTTGTTGTTAGTAAAGGTAGACATTGGCTTGTGGTGTCCAAAGTATCCGATATTCGAAGTGAAGTTGATCTTCACTAGGTGTTAACCCTTATTAGACCAGATTTATCTTCAGACTTGAATAACTGTTCTTTTTCTCCACGTAGGTCTTTGAAATGAGGAGAAGAGGAACGGTCAAATCTTTTGAATGGTGTTTTGTTTCAGGCAATAAATGTCGAGACAGAATTCAAGATAATCCGTCATATTAGTGATTGTATCATCCAGTGTATGCTCAGTAAATAGATTCTAATCAGTAGTGCCCTTCAACATGCATCTAAGGTTATGTATATTGTCCTGTTAGTAGCATCTCTATTGCGTTTTCCTTGAAAAGTTAGAGAAGACACTTGTGTATGACTTGCCATATATTTTAGGCAACAATCGAATAATGCAATGATCAGAGTTCACTAGTGGAACACATTTGCCTGCTTCATATATATTCCACTGTCATTAGTGGACACTAGTCAAGTTGAGCACCAAAGTTGACAATGTTTTCATGACCTAGTGATTCAAGGAAACACCAATTGCAGGAATTGAAGTCTGCAGTGACTATTGATAGGGAGTTCTCAAGAGAAGTAGCGGTGAAAACCGTTAATTCGTTCTCAAAATTAGATAGATCCGAGGGGGGACCGGCCAGGGGGTAACTGAAATCGACATGGGATGACTAAAAGTTGCAACCCAACCACCATATTTCTTTTTATAACAACACCGATCTTGTCTAAATAATGTGAAACCATTTAGTGAAAGCAGATTGTCATCATAAAGCTCGTGGGGCCAAGTTTCTTGTAGCGTGATCATAGTCGTATTGTGATAAGTATTAAAGGATAAGGGAGATTGCAGATACATAATCTTGTGGGGAAGACAACGGCAGTTACTACTAACGATCACAAGAACAGTAGTACGATGTATAGGTGTGCGTTTTAATGCTCATTACCAACCACCATGATGCTTTTTCTTAGCTTTGTTAAGAAGCTGAAAGTCACTTGATCTTAAAAATTAGCGAGAGTAAATAATCCGATTTGACAGTATGTTTTCATAAAATAGAGACAAATAAAACACGATAAATTAGATGAAAAGGAAGTTTAGGTAATCCAACGTTCAAGTAGGCCGTTTTTTTTAAGTAACACTATTTAACACAGGAAGACTATTGCGTAATATTATACGAGAAGGCAATTTAAAATTGGTTTGAAATAAAATAAATGAACTGAGACCAGTTGGTCAGAACTGCAGTGATTTATTCGTCTAAGTATATAACCCAAGTTTACATCAATGATCAGCTACTAGCAACTAACCTGAGATATGAATTATATTGACTAGATAGATCGGAATACATTATCACCATAGTACGTGACATAACTGTAAAATATTCCAAGGTGTAAACCACTTGTAACAACATGTACATTAAGAAATTAACCTAAGGGAGAATGAAATGGTAAAAAGCTACAGAGAAATAAACTAGTTGAACCACATTAAACTCATGTGACATAATAATAATGATAATAGTGTAATAATGAAAACAAAACACGTAGATCAGCGAAGAGTCTCTTTTCGGCGAATTCATCTTCTTAGCTGTACAATCGCAAATATATATGCATTGTTTTGTTTGTATGTGTACATTAAGTTTGTCAAACAAAGTTACAATTGGTTAAGGTTAATTTTAACTAAACAAGTGGAGGTTGTTAATACAGGTCAAGAATGCCTGGATGGGGATTATCCATGAATTGAAACGTAGCAAGGACCCCTCGACAGTCAAGGAACTCAATGGGTTTCTGCGTTACACTGTCAAGCTTGCTGTGGGGAAAGCGAAAGTTGCCTTTTTCGAGGATTGCGTCTCTAATCATCAGTATCCAAAGTGGTTCTGGAAAGCACTTCGACGCAATCATATATATCCAAATACGAAGTCCCTTCAACGCCATGCAATGAATTGTGCTGATTCTATCAGATCACGTATGCCCGAACTGCAGCGGAATATCAATCAGAGGTCCTCTGCCTTATACGAATTGACTTCGGACGAATGTCAAAGATTCAATGAATATATCAACTTGGTTGCAAATAAACGATCGCAGTCCGTTGTAACCCAGCTCAACAACAGCCTAAAGCAGATGAAACCTCAAGGCAAATTTCCTGACGAACCCACGAAGTTTGTGTTCAATTATTCCTCAGTACCTTTAACCGACGTGCAACTGGAAGTTCTATCTCTGGGCCCTAAATTCTGCGATATAAACTTCAACGCCGACAAACTCCATACTCAGGTCCAGTTTGAAAATCTAATCAGCCAAACGCACGATCTCAGCCCAACTTCTGAAGACGAACTACAGAGATTCAAGTCAACAATAATGGACTGCTGCCATCAATACTTGAATACAAAATCAAAAGTCCGCAACCACCTGACGAAACGGCACCGAGAGGAATTAAAACAGTTGAGAGATAACAAAGATCTGCTTATAACTCGGCCCGACAAGGGTGCTGGTGTAGTGCTTCTGAATCGAAGAGACTACATCGAGAAAATGAACGATATACTGTCGAATGAAGACAAATTTTCCCAAGCTTCCAATGAAAGAAACAAGACGGAACAGATTGAGAAGCAACTCACAGACGTCTTGAAGAGAATGAAGGCCAGTCAACTAATTAGTGGGGATATTTACGACCAGATCCGGCCAACAGGTTCAGTAATACCAAGACTTTATGGTCTACCAAAGGTACACAAGGTTGGTCTCCCACTTCGCCCAATTCTGGATATGTCAGGTTCCCCTTACCACTCTATTGCACAATGGCTAGCAGATATTCTGGAACCTGTAAGGAAGCAATTATGTACGCACTCACTCCGTGACACCTTCCAGTTCATCGAGTGCATACAAGACACGAATGTATCTAACCAAATTATGCTATCCTTCGACATCGAGTCACTCTTCACCAATGTCCCACTCACAGAAACGGTCTGCTTCATATGCAGATATATAGATGACAACCACATCGATATTGGAATACCGACAACATACTTGAAAGAATTATTATTGAGATGCACTCTGAACGTCCAGTTCACATTCAACGACACTATCTACAGACAAAAGGATG